GAAACTTTGGGGGTTGATAACCTGCGGGCATCTTCAAACTATCAATTCTCGCAGTGTATGGCTTTGCATATGCGAGAGAAGACTTGGCAGCAATATCGTACTTATCTTTGATGGTTCCCATAATGAAGTCTTTCAATTGGTCAATGGGAATAACCCCGTCAGATGAAATCTGAAATTCTTTAGGAGCCGTTGTTTGCCTTGCAGATGAGTCTCCTTTATCTTGCATCATTGGGAGCTTTTCAGGTGCATGACTTGAATCTCCCTCCATCATGCTTTCAACTCTATTTGTTAGTTTGACAATTTGATTATCTTGATCTTGCATATGCTTCGTTAACCCTTCAATTTCCTTTGTTAAATTTGCGAGTTGTTCTTCAACAGTTGAAGTATTAGTCACCATTGCTTAGGTAACCGTCGTGGATGTTGGAGCAAAGCACAGATTTTCTCTTACACCATACTTTGAGTGGAACAACTCACGTGGAGTGCTTGGAGCAGATCCAGTGATCAAGACATCATCATCACCCTGTGTGATGAGATTCTTAGATCTAGAAGGGCTAAGTAGAGACAATGTCTTTTCAACAATTTCAGCAATGTTCGCTCCTTCTTCCAATTCAGTTAGAAAGGATCTTGCCCCCTTTGAGGATTGAAAATCAAAGATAGGAACCAATGCAGACGGCATTTGAAATGCTTTTTGTCCCAACAAGTTTGCTTTATTCCTAGTGACAGGTCCTACGCTTTCCATAGTAGCATCCAGCAAGTTTTCCACATCAGATGAAAACTTGGAATCTGTAGCCTTAGCAGTAGTAAGTTTGAAGTTGATATTCTTAGGAGCCATTTCTGTGTTCTTGAAATTTGGTAATTTGAAGAGATGAGAGGTAGAGATGGTCCCACTGGGCGTGCCAGAAAGTTGTAACAACAAATTTTCGCGTCGAGAAAAATAAATAATCAAGACTGGAAAATTGCGTAACAAATGTAGTATTTGATTTCAATAAATGAAAGTGTTACAATCTCCATGGTATTCCTCCGATTCTTCAAGATTGTAAAGTATCTTAGTGAGCTTGACTTTGATTTGATTCAAGGGCTTGTAAAGCTTGAACTTGAATTTGGGTTTGATCATGAACAAGTAATTTGATCTTGAACGCCTTGGTATTTGATTTGCCTTCATTCTTGATCTTGAACTTGAACTTGTAGCTTGAGTGCTTGAACTTGTAGCTTGTAGAGAAATTAGCAGCCTTTGATCTACGAGCTCTCTGCTTGCTTCTTGTTCTTAATTCTGGTGTCTTATAGCTTTATGAAGACCTCTATTTATAGCTGTAGGGAGTGATGTGGCTCTGCGAATTGATTGGTTCGTGAACTGACCAATACCATCCAGACACTTGGCATGATTTAATTGGCCCATTTATTTGGCTTGGATTGCCACATTACTTGACACATGGCATGATTTCATTGGCTCATTTATTTGTTTTGGATTGACATAACTTGACACATGGCATGATTTCATTGGCTCACTTATTTGGCTTGGATTGCCACGTCACTTGACACGTCGCATTATATTATTGGCTTGTTCTTTTGACTTGGATTGCCACATCACTTGACATGTGGCATGAGCCTGAGCTTTAAGAAAGGGCTAATAGCCATTTGGACCTTGGGCTAATGAAGTGGGCTTATCATTTAATCCGTAGTCCAATTAAATGGATTAGCCCAACACATATATTTGATTTAAATAAGTAGCCCAATTTACTAGCCACAATATTTGTTTGGACTAATGTCTTGAATTTAATATGGTCCAAATTATTTTATGGATTTAAATCCAACAAAATTTAAATGCTTACAGCATACAAGACACAATATATATTAAGTGCCCTAACATTTAAAAGTTACATTTATATATAAATAACTAATTAAGTATAAAAACCAACATATAACCATAAGTTGAATAAGAGAAAATAGAACTCGAATCTCTCCAAATAATAGGTTGACACAACAGAATCCTTAACAATATCATGTGACACCTTCTCTCATAAAGTAATACTTACTTTAATGAAAATTTACCAAAGGAATGTTCGACTTCTTACAGCCGTGTCTATGTGCGTCATAGATAATTGCTTTAACATTCAATCTAAGAGCCCGTTTGGACATAAAAAAAATTCTTTTTTTTCAAAATTTTTTTAACTTTCTTTTTAAAATCGGCATTTATTCATAAAAATTTTAATTTTCACTTGAAGATGCATTTTGGAAATTTTTGAAAATTTGAAAAACTCCAAAAAGCTATTTTTCAAAATTTCCACTCAAATCACTCACAAAACTTCAAAAACAACCCAAAATTATATTCATGTCCAAATACAACTCTAAATTCCAAATACTATTTTCACCTAAAAAGATTTTTTCCCCTATTTTGGAATTTTACAGTTCTTATGTCCAAACGCCCACTAAGACCGTTGTTTTTTCCGTCTCCAATTTATCTCTTCAATGAGAATGAACTTGTGTTCAATGTTTGATGGGGTGAATTTTGAATTGAAAGAAGAGTTTGTTAGTTATTATCTTAAAAAGACACAACCTTAGGATGGAAAAGACACATCAGTTGCCTTCTTTTTATTTAAATATTATATAGTTGATATACTATTATTAAATTATATGTGTTGTGCCAAATTTACGTGTCTATAGACTTTTCTAACCGTTGTGACCCAATGTAGCAATTTTTCGTTTTTTTTTATCTTTTTTCTTTTTATTTTAGGAATGAGATATTCAAAATATTTAAAAGGGCAAATATGTAATTTAACTTTTAAGTTTAGGAATTTATGCTTTTAATATAATACTAGTCCCTATGTTCGTGCTTTGCACGAATATTCGTTAAATATTACAAATGTGGCACAAAGTTATACAATTAAAGTTGTTAATTCGATTAAAGAATGCAATAATATTTAATATTTTTTTGTGATGTGATGATTTACGTTAGTTGAGCCTTAATGATTCATGTATATCAAAGTAATTGTTCTTTTTATTGTGTTGCATGTTATCTTATGTCAATTATTATTAAAAATAATTCTTAATTTCACAAACATTTGAAAATATTTACTTGATTACACGAAAGGAGATCAAATTAAACAAAAAGTTAGACAAGTATACTTGCTCGTAGCAAGATACCCACAATTAATAAAACTATATCTGATGAGCGTAATATATTCAAGTATTAAGTATTATAAAAAGAGATTTTAACACTGTTAGTCTCTTTTTAAAGAACATTTATATAGATAACATTACTTTCGCTTTATTTTAAAATTAGCACATTCATTTACAATTATAGCATTTTATTTAAAGATTCTTTATGTAGCATTTAATTTTTAAAACGTAAAACACTAACCACAATTTAAGGGATTATTGAACCACATTAATTTTTCACAATATTCTCTCTCATCATTAATCTATACTTTTCATTTTCTTTGAATTTTTGCTTCGAATAGGTGCTCTAAAAAAAGTCCTATTTTTCATTATTCTCCCTTACACAATCTAAATCGATCCACATTCCATTACTATAACAATATTATTCAAAGTATTTTGATTGCAAATACGATTATACCAATATTATACTAAATACATTTCATAAAAAATAAATATAAAATATTAGCATACCATGTTATACCAAGAACAATTAAATAAATAGATTATACCACATATTTTAAGACAAAATATATAAAACTTATATACCTAAACACAATCAAATAAATAAAATATACCAAGTATTTTGATGGAAAGTGCAATTTTTTAAAATACCTGAACACAATTAAATAAACAAAATATACCATATATTTTTAGGTATAAAAATGATATGCACTTTATCTGCAACTTAATTAACATTTGCTTAGGCTAGGTATAATACTTGTATCGAATTTGAGTGTGAAAATAAAAAAATATATATAAAATAAAAAAAAAACATATATATAGAGGTTGCACAATTTATATACTGCACAATTTATTTAGAGGCTGATTTGGAAAAGAATATGGGGGAAAATTAACATGATTTATGGGCGGGAGGGAAATGATGTGTTAGCAATAAATATGATTAGGAGATGATGGCAAGAAATTTTAAGGAGATAAAATTGAAGTCCTAATTCTTTGGAGATATATTTGGGATGAAATTAAGACATTCTCAGACAATAAAGGATGCCAGTTTCTCTTAGGCTTCTACTAATGTAAATATTATACTGCCTCATTTGATATATATTTAATGATGCTAGGATTCTGTATATATTATTTTAAAATGTAATACTTATAAAAGTTCTTCTTATAAAAATAGTACATAAATCTTCATAGAAAATGCCCCAAAGGAAGTTAAATCAAAAAAAGAAAAGAGAAAGAAAAAAAGTTACCTGACTTGTAAAAGTGAGTAATCAAAACTCTTGCACTAACGTTTTCATTGAGCTCTTTTGTAGAGTCAATAAGGTAGCAAACATCTTTCTATATAAAATTAGTCTATGTTTGGTTGTTCTTTAAAAAGATTATAAATACCAAATTTTTTTTAAATTAAATATCACATTTTAGTTGATCTCAAAGTCAAATTTTGGAAGAAATCCTTAATATGTAATACAGTTCTATCCAACCAGAAATAATTAAAATTTGAATGGAGTTATGGAATTCCAAATTGTTTCGAGCTTAGTTGGTTGCCTTGTAACCTATTAAGTATAAATAGAATTGATTTACAGGAAGCTGCTTAGTTGATTACCTAATCTATCTTTGTACCCTATACAACATAGGATTCTTATTAATCCAAGGACTTAGTTTCTATCCTATATGACAGTTATATTCAATATTAAATTATTTTATGAAAGAAATATTTAACTTCAAGGGCAAAAAAGTCAGCTAAAATTTTAAAGATATTAATAATTTCTGCATAACTAAGTTCAATTCGAGATATGACACGTAAACACTTACACATCAGAATTCCAAGAATGTCCTTGGTCGGGCAGTACCAAACGAGTTTTCTTCTAGCAAAATTCCATGATATTAATGAAAAAAAGAAAGAAGAAAAAATCTGGACACAGATATCTTATCTTATTAGAAAAGCTCTGTGAAATTGTTTCTTTGGCGGTGAATGGAGCTCACCGCTGTTTGTTCGCGAAGCTTTGGACGAGGTACTCTTTACTCTCTCCTCCCTCTTTTCATAATTTAGTGTCTTCTTCACTCTCAGTGGGGTTTTCGGTTTGGTTAAGAATAGAATTTTATAAATTGGGGGATCGCTCTTCTGCGAGACGTGTTGTTTCCTGAATTGGTTTATACTTTTGTCAGTATCTTGTAAAATAGTTGCCTTATTATTTTCATTTTACACTTTATTGATGGAAATTTGGAGGTATGATAAAAGTTCATCATTGTATGAAAACAGTTAGTCCCAATAGCTGATTTTATACTGAGTGACATCTAGAGAAGAAATCACGGCTAGTGTGAGTTATGCTATATTACAATAGTTATTCGCTGATACCTTCTTCTCGGTTCCTTCTTCCATAACCAGAGCTCAGAGAAGGAAGAGATAAGAGGGCCCTATGTTAACATGGAAATTTACATGTTTGTATCATTAGTTTAATTAGAAAAATGGGTTTTGACTTGGATAAGTCCGCAAAAATGTGAATGCTAAGCTTGTTAATTAAAAATTAAGAACAATAGTGTCTAGAACAAAGACAGACGGGGAAGTCTAAATGTGTCAAACTCCAAACTACCTGCAGTTAATTACGCTCCGAAGTTTAATTGCATTGGAATGCATTTGGACTCTACTATGGGTTTCTGCTGCAAAATGTAATTTTATGTATGGATTGAAGAAGGGGTTGAAGTTCCTACTTGTCTCATTGAAAAAATGCACAATTTCTGTTGAAACACTCCTATTGTGGAAGATCATCTTGTCTAATCTTGTTGTCACATAGCTGTGTTATTTGTTTTTTTTTCAAAATGGACTGCTCTTTCTCTTAAACAGATGGGCATGCTGGCTTGCCTTCTGATCATATTGGAGTTCGTGCAAAAGTGATCTATGCTGCTGCTCCCGCAGTGGGTCATGATCAGGTAAAGTAAATCTACTTACTATATGCATTATGAAGCTAGCTTTGGGGTTCCAAGGAATCATTTACTTTATAGCATCTTTTCTTAAAGCTGTCGTGGACCCAGCTCATGCCGAACAACCTTTTATATTGCTTACCCACCAAAAGAGTTAAACTAAAGTTATTTAAGCTGTTAAAGTCTTGATTAATTGCCAACCTTGCCACCGCATATGGCTTGTGGAGCAAGGAACCTGGACTTCTATATTTAGTCTGTTATGCTTAGCAATTCTACACTTAATTATGTGCACGTGTGGGAAGCAGATAAGTGAGAACAATAGAGGCGTAGAGTGTAGTTGTTGACTTCAAAATGGCTACTTATTCTTCCAATTGTAAAGAAAATGTATGCACACGTCTACTACAAAGTCTGTCATTATTCCAACCTACTTTTGTTAGAAGCAGAAGTAATGGCCTTACTCTGGATGATAGTTTGGGGAGTGACGATTAATACTCTATGTTGCCTTTGTCAAGCTGCCAGAGAATCAAATGAACACTTTTTTTTTTGAGTGCGCTCATACTAAAAACGCTGTGACTTGAGTATTATAACATCTGTTTCTCTCTAAAAGCAGTGGAACCTGGCCAAGAGAGCTCTGATGAAATTCACAAACATTTAGCTTCCATCAATGAGAAGTAAAAACTTAGCTGTTTTCACGTTACATTTATTTTCACTCAGACAATGGGGCCAATCTTGAGCAACTCTGATGAAATTCACAAGTATTTCAAGTTAGAGTACATGTATATGTATAAGTTTTCTCACTCATAAGATTTTGATTCATCGGCACGGGCAGCAATCTTCCCACATCAATTGCAATATCCTCTTCATCAGAATCATCAGCCACTAAAAATAAAGAGTAAGAAAAAAGTTGACATAATACATATCAATAAGAATAAATTTTACCTCCATGTCCATAGAGCCAATCTTGAGCACACAACTTAGCTTCTGCAGTTTTTGGTAAGACTGAACTTTGATAGTTCAATTACTCGTCCTCCAATGCTGAACATTGGTTCAGACACAACAATACTAATAGGTATACTTAAAATATCTCGAGCCATCAGTGACAACTCAGGGTATCTAACGTACTATTAGATGTTGGGGATCTCATGTACTCCTTAAGAAATCAATGCAAATTATCTTCAATAACCTTCGTCTTTTCATTACAAGTTAAAGAATCAAGCTTTGAAAACAAAATTTCACAAACTCTAACTTGTACTGAGGATCGAGAACAACTGCCAATGATAAAACGGAGTATACTCTTGCCAGTAGTTTGAACATTTCTCTTCCATTTTCCCTGCCATGTTGATATCAGGATGTTCACTATTTTTCTCTTCCTTTATCAACAAATGGATGTTTCACACTTTACGAAAAAACAAGTTAGCTGTCGGATATTCGCTTCCCGAAAACAAAGTAGTGATTTCATCAAAAGGCTTTAGGAATTTGGCAATTGTTTCTGCCTTATCCCAATCCATTTCTGAAGGACAATATTTCAAATCTGCACCAACTGGTTTGAAGTCAAAAAAAGCCCGACGATATGGAATAACACTCTCAAGCTTAAGAAAAGTATAGTTCCATCTCGTCGGCACATCTTGACGCACTTTCTCAATCAACTTCAATCCAAGATTTTTGATACAGTCTACAACCTTTATATCCTTTACTCAAAACCTTTCACTTATTTAATACTCTCTTTTATGTTAAAGATTGCAACATCTATTGACTTTAGACTTGCTTTAACAATCAGATTTAAAATGTGATTTGCACAACGAATATGGACAAAGTTCCCCTTACACACAAAGAATCCATCGAGTTCATGTACTTTTTGAAACTATCCACAATTTTCTCATTATAAGTTGCACTATCTAAGGTTATCGTCCATTCCTATTTTCCTTGGCGATGGACGCATTAACGAGGCACATTCAAGGTGAGGTGTCATGGTGTATGTTATTTGCTGATGACATTAGTTTTAATTGATGAGATGCTGGGTGGTGTTAACGAGAGACTGGAGGTTTGGAGGCAGGCCCTAAAGTCTAAGGGTTTCAAGTTGAGCAGGACCAAGACGGAATACTTGGAGTGCAAGTTCAGCAACGGTACCCAGGAAGGGGATATGGAGGTGAGGCTTGATACGCAAGTCATCCCCAAGAGAGGTAGTTTCAAGTATCTTGGATCTATAATACAAGGTAACAAGGAGATTGATGAAGATGTCACGCATCGTATCGGAGCAGGATGGATGAAGTGGAGGCTCGCTTTCGATGTCTTGTGTGATAAGAATGTGCTGCTGAAACTTAAAGGTAAGTTCTACAAGGTTGTAGAGAGACCGACTATGTTGTATGGAACAAAGTGTTGGCCGCTCAAGAACTCTCATACATACAAGGTAAAAGTAGCTGAGATGAGGATGTTGAGGTGGATGTGTGGGCATACGCGGTTGGATAAGATTATGAATGAAGTTATTCGGGAAAAAGTGGGAGTGGCCCTTGTGGAGGATAAGATGCGGGAGGCGAGGTTGAGATGGTTCGGGCATATTAAGAGGAGAAGTATAGAAGCCCCAGTTAGAAGTTGCGAGCGGTTAGCCTCAACGGGTAGCAGGAGGGGTAGAGGTAGGCCTAAGAAGTCTTGGGGAGAGGTTATTAGGCGGGAGAGGATGAGCTGGAGCTGACTAAGGACATGGCCCTAGACAGGAGGGTGTGGAGCTCAAAGATTAGGGTAGAAGTTCATAGGTAGTCCTCTTTGTCTTACTCAGTTCGCTAGCATTAGTGTTAGTATGATATTTTTTATCCATAGATGACTATTACCACCTAGAGTTTGACTGCATTCTTGGATTCAATCTTATTTCATCTTGCTGTTATTCCTACTTGTTGCAATTACCTTTTCTTTTTCAGTCATTCTCTAGTTGAGGGTCTATCAGAAATAACCTCTCTGCACTTCCAGGGGTAGGGGTAAGGCTGCGTACATCTTATCCTCCCCAGACCTCACTTGTGGGATACTACTGGGTTTGTTGTTGTTGATTCCCCACTCCTTCAAGAAATTAATCAATATCAGTCCAAGAATTTGGCCAGTATGTGAAGGAGGCACATGCGGAATATTGTAAAATCCAATTTGAGTCGACAAAATGAGCCGTTAGATAAAAATAACCATTTAAGGTAATTGATGTCCACAAGTCAGTAGTCAAGCATATTCATCGTGAACTACTCCTTTTTGCTTCTAATATAATTTTAAAACATCAACCTTTGAAAAACTGTGTTCCATCGTGACAGTGGGATTCAAAAAACTGTGTATTCCTCTTATCTCTTCATATTCCACAAATCTTAAAGGTAAGTTATGCCTTACTGCAACTTTGGCAATCAATTCACGGATCATTTCACTATTCACAGCTGGATAACAACATGATTATGACACATTGCTATGACGCTTAGCTCGGTGGCGCTTTAAATTCGAAGTTCCACCAATTGAATCAGCCAAATATACCCGACCACAATCTTTACACTTTGCCCTCAATCTATTATCCGGATTAATGTCAAGTGGTAACTTCAGAAAAATATTCCATACTACAGAAGTCTTCCTGCATGCACTTGGCAAGCTTATTTCAGTAGATTTTTCGACTTCATCTATATGCTCCGTTAACTATTTAAAAAAAGTAAATCAGCTCTTTGACAGCTTAGAGCAAAGCATATAGCTAGATATAAGAGCAAATATTATCTGTAAATACTTTGAGTTTTGAGCTCATAGAAACCCTAAATAAGAAATAAAGAGTAGATTCAAACACTCAATTCACGAATGATAACAAAATCCACAAAAAAAATTAAATCAGCACTTTGAAAGAAAAAGAATCAAAGAGAAAGATTAAAGGAGAAGGAGAATGGAGTGGAAGAGCGAAAAATAGTAGTCTAACCTTGTGGCGTTTGAGAAATTGAGGAGGAAGGAGTGGGAGAGTGAAAGAGAGTAGTCTGTCTCACCTTGGTCGTTTGAGAAATCGATAGATAAAGAGCGTGTGTTTTGTTTATCTGACCCATTGGGTTGGGCTATGTGTTAACCTGTTGGGTTACACTCTTTTTTACACATTTGGGCCCCATATTTCGGCGGGTCATTATGGGTCCAACCCATTTTGATCCATTGACTTTTTTATTACTGATCAAACCCGTTCAACCTTGGGCGGGTTACAATTTTTTGGGTCAAAATTGCCACCCCTATGTGCACCCAGTGTTTCCAGCTTCTTCTTATATTTGATTGATGTTTCCCTTCTTAGCTATGTCATGTTTTTGGTGCCTGTTTTCCTACTCAATATCTGCCTATTCTGCAATCACTTCTGCAATCACTGAGAAATATGTTTTATAGTGCAGGTTGTGCCTCTAATGCATCATGTTCATTTCTTGCTTTCAAGCAAATTGTTTGGAAGAGAATGTGTTCCTCTTTGGACCAGACGTGGTTTGGGACGACTTCCTGAAAGGTATTTAAGTGATTGGTAATATTTTTCGTTTTGCATGCTTCCACTGATGTAAAGATAAATGTGTTTCATAGTTTCTTAGTATGTCGTGTGACTTCCATGGTTATTGCATGGTTAATGGTACAAGGGAAGCTGCAGCAGTTCAAGAAAAAATTTATTTTTCTCGAAAATTGATTGTGCTATATCTTAGTGCACCTTCCCCAGAATGGAATTCTAACTTTTATTCCAAGTTACACTATGCCCTCCTATACTATGACTTGGTCATGCAAAGCGGCACTTACTATAGACACCTCCAATTAGTTTCGATGGTCTTACACTTCTTCACGACCATAGCAGCCAGATAAGAACCAAGTAATCAAGTAAAATAACAGTATAAGAAAACATACACTCTTTATAAGGGTGTAATCATATTGCTTGCTTGCTTTGCTCACCCATGCTTCCCTCTTTCTGCAGGGCAAGAGCTGGACGCTGCTATGCTGTATCATTAGGTGCAAATGCAAGTCAACTCCCTTCAAAGATTCTGACAGTGCCATGGCTAACTTTTTCTCCTTCTTTCTTAATTAGGAATTGGAGATGCTGCAGTTTCTACTTCTGAATTTGAAGATTTTTCTGTTACCACGAGCGGTGTCAATGGTTCTAACGAATTGAAGGTGAGAATTTAAGTTCATGGAAAAGTTGTTAATTTGATTACTTGGTCTATTCATCCATGATATGTATAGAGACAATAGTCTGTGCAGAAGAAAGCTTGTAAAGGTTTGTCTATAATTTGAAAGTGTCCTCTGATTAGAATTATTTTAACGCAAACGACACTATTCATAAGGAATTTGTTTTACCTCAGTAAGGCAACCATAAAGGGAAACCATGAAGGGAAGGTGTAAATCATCCTTACTACGATCTTAAGCTTTTTAACACTTGGACTTATGGTTCTTTGCAGATAAGTGTTAATGTCTCGGGTGCCAAAACTGAAGAGATCTTTGGCAAGGTGTTTTCAAGAATGGTTGAAGATGCTCAACCTATTCCAGGGTTTCGAAGAGTAAAAGGAGGTGATGCATTGAATAAATTTCTATATAAGTTACATTAATCTCAAAAGCCATCAAGCAGTGGTAGATTCTCTTCCCTGATATTTTGGTTACTTAAAGATACTTCTAATTGGCTTCCTTTGTTCCCTTTTTATGTCTGCATTTTTTAAAACTGGTGACCTACTAACTGATTTTTTGCATTGCTCATCTGCATCTCGTTTGAACAACTTGGAATCTGTCAGGAAAAACTCCCAATGTAAGTTTCCTTAGTCCTTTATCTGTTTTGCTGTTGTTCTACATTTATGAATAACATCGATGGAAAAATATATTAAGCATGACCCCAGGACTTGATCTGATAGGAGTTTGAACAGAAATTCATTGTCCATTTTCTCTCCATTTTCCCGAGTTTCGAAGTCCGCAGTCGTTCCTAACGGTCGGCCCCAGACAGATTTCTCGGTCTTCAAAAAAAAAAAAGAATTCTTATAGTACAATTTTTTTTGTCAGTTGTAATTTTTTTTGCGGAGAAAAAGAAAAAGATACTGAGTGGGGACTACTGTATCTGGCTTGTCTTATGAATCGATTATGGTTCTCTGGCCAGACGTACTATATTTATGCGTATTTTCCATGTCTTGACAGATACCAAGAGATATTCTTATTGAGATTCTTGGATACTCAAAAGTTTACAAGCAAGTTATCAAGAAAATAATCAACTCTACCATCAGCGAATATGTAGAAAAGGTAGACCCCCCCTCCCCCCTCCCCCTCCCTATGCATCTCAGTCATTTTGTCTCTTCATATTCACACCCTTCTTTCATATCTCAAAGACTTGGATAGATACAGAATTATCAAATGCTATGGGTGCATTTAACCATGTTATGGTGGTTACAATAAGTTATCTCCCCTGTTGACAGATAAATTAATACTTAGCTTCAACTTTTGAATTCTAAACATAGTTGATTCTTTACCGTTTCTAGCTTCTAAATAACATGTCAAATATTTGAATGACCACGTCAGACTTATTTAACTATTGCAGTCCTCTCAAGATTTTTACAGCGCACCTCAAAATATTATTCAAAAGGTTCTTCAAGGGAATGGCTAGAAGTATATTTAGACTTCTAAACATTTTAAAATATTTTTTGATTCTCATTTCTTGAATTTACAGAACTGTATGAGAAATTTACTACTGGAGTCAGTTCTCAAGGCATTTGCTAATTTTGTTCCATCTCACCTTTTCTGAGTTTAGAACATCTAGAAAGTTCTTGTTAAGTATTTGTGATTTTTTACGGGTTCCATCATGATTAGAGTTATTTCTCAATCATGAGTAAATATCTATGTTCATATGCAAATAGTTATTGAGAGCTTCTAAAAGGGATACCTTGATAGTAAAGGAAATGCTTTCTGTTGCAGCTACAAACTAATGTGATTAACCTACCTCTTTTATCAACTTGATGCACAAATAACTTTTCGGTCGATCCGCATTTACTTGTTTAATATTGAAAGAATGTGAATTATGCAAACCATGAGTTAGGAGAAAATGTGAATTATGCAAACCATGAGTTAGGAGAAATGAAATCCCATTTTGACGACTTGTCGGAACCGACGCATCAACTGAAACTTCAATGCCTCAGCAGCTTATTTTTTTCGTTAAAAGGGAAGAACTTGTACAATTCATTGACTTTTTTTATTCGCAGAGATTTTATTGCTGTAGCCTGTAGATCCCTGCAGATTCTATTGCACCGTTTATTCTCTTGCATGTGACCTTTTTGCTTATCTGTATAGTTTGTCCTTGCACCCGAAGCACTGGAGTGATCCTTCCTTCCCAAAAAAAGTCAATTAGTTTGGGCTGGCATAGGCATAAAAGATTTGATTAAATGAATGCCACCTTGGCAGTTTTCAAACAAATCCAATGTTGGGCCAAGCTTGCCAGATAAATCAAAAACTTTTCATTCAACTTATTCTTTCAATTGAAATTGAGATTTTTGCCTATCTTATTTTATTTTGAGATCCGCCCCCCGGCTGGGAGGCATCTACCTCATCCCGATCACAGGTGCCTCCTGTTTTATTATCAATACAAATCCTTTTACTGATCTAAAAATGACTTAACAAGAAATCAAGGAACAATTTACTATCCTTTTAATGATCCAGTATAGGCGGTTAATGCTCCCCTCACCCCTCCGTACACACACAAGAGAGTGAAGGGAAACAGTAATAAGAAGAGGGGTTGGGGGAAGAGAAGACCCAGGCCTAATAAACATTAATATGCATGTGGTGGAAGAAACCCAATTTTGTTATGGCCCTCGCTGTAGCTCCTAGCTGAGTTATAGAGGTCAAAGTGGACTCTATTTGAAGTTCAGAAAACAGTAGTAGGTATTTATTATTTCAGGGGATGGGATTAAGACTTGGGGGAGAAGAGGAGAGGTTGGGATTTATCAGGAATTAGGCTGAAAGGCAAACAGGATACATCATTCATCATGTTCATTTTCTTTGCTGAGTCAAACTATATGTATGAAGTTTCTTCTGATTGTCCCACTCTCTTTGCTTTCAACATGTTGCCTGAATGTGTAGTTATCTGAAAAAGAGGCAAAAGTTTGTTTCTTGAATGTGAATTGCTTTGCCTTTATGCTTTTGCAAACCAATTGCAGGATGGTCTAACAGTTTTGAAAGATTTACTAATTGAGCAAAGTTTTGAAGATCTTGAAGCAATATTTGAACCTGGTGAGCCATTCACATTCAGTGCAATTGTTCAGCGTCGAGATCCTAAGTAAACTGATTATACATTCACCATTCTCTGGAACAAATAGCAGTGGCTTTCAGATTATAGACTGTTGCAGAAAAAGTTTGTGGAAGGTTTTCTTCTCTCCTTTCTTTTTTCAAGAAAAGTGTAGGTGGAAGGAAAGAACAAGGATTTTTCTGATAATGGATTTGAAATGGAATTTTTATTGTATATGAATGAGGATTCGATTTAAATTTGTAGTTAGAGTGAATTGCCAACACATGAAAAAGCAGCATGTGAAAGCACTCAATAGCGTGGCCTAGTGGTCAATGAAGTGGGTGTAAATTTTGGTGACAGAGAAAAAATGCTAGGTAATTTCTTCCTATCCGTCTAAGACTTAGGTGGGGAGTTATTCGGTACGGGTGACAAGTATCCGATGGAATAGTTGAAGTGTGTGCATTGGTTTGGCCACTACCTACATCTGCAATTCAAATTGGAGCCTTTGCAAGTTATACTTTCATGTAATTAAAGTTGAAAGAATAAAATAGAAAGTTTGTATATTTGCCGTTGGATTATCATGATCAAAGGCATATCAGTCTAATCCACTGAATTGTTCAAATTCGGGTAACCTCTTCTAACATCCAAAAAATTATATTCGTTGTTTCCATAAGGGATTGGTCTTTAAATATTGTTGCCTTTTTGACTTTGTTGCAAAAATAGGCTTCTTCTTCACCAAGAACAGAACACCATAGTTCTTCAATATTGGAAGTTTGAAATTATTGTTTGAGGTTGAAAACTTTAAGTTAATGATTGATTATTGTTAAATTGTTCGAATATTGATAATCTGTCTTGAATTTTTACTTCAAACATTGATATAGTAATTTATTTTTGAAAATATCAAAAACTCTGTTGTGGTCCTTAGAAAGTGTTAAGAAGATAAAGTAGGTCTTCTTGATTTGGTGTTATTGGCTAAATTAGTGATTGGGGATCGCTTGTATTGATATTTAGAGGTTTTGTTTCAAATTTGAGATCATTTGGAGCAGATTTGGGATAATTTGATTGAAATTTGAATTGCAATTTCGTAGAGAACTTTGTTAAACAATACGAAAATTATGTCATCGGGTGGACTTGGATGAATTTAAGAGATTGGTCAACTGCAGATAGCATAGACTCATGTCAATCTGGTAGAGTTTGGTGAAGAATTGAAGAAGTACAAAATTATGTCAATTGGGTAGAGTTTTTGAACAATCAAACGAATAAGTTGAATGCATAAATTCTATCAATCACGTAGAATTTGTGAAAATTAACAATTTAAGTAGAGTAAATATAGCATAAATTCTATCAATTTGATAAAAAATCCATAACAAGTAATAAATGTTTGTGGGCTAGGGGTGATTTTCTAGATTCATTTAAAAACAAAGACAATATCTAAAGACCAGCTGCTTAGTGCCACTTTTGTCCATCACCCTTTAACATCGTCCTTCAGAGCAATTTATATAAGGCATTATGAGATTATTTTTTCTCTCAAGAAAGGAAAACCTAATAAAAACTGTAAAAAGTAAAGCTAAAAGATGTCATGACCCAAAATCCCAATCGCGGGATATGATGACGCCTAACACCGCTTGCTAGACAAGTCAATACATAATAGAAAATACGAGAGAAATGAAACTGCCAATCAACAATAAAATGATAACATAGTGAAATATAATTTAGAAGTATACATGATAAGTCTATGGTCAACTCTAACGTTCAACCATCCCAAGATGTGGAGTCACAAGTACATGAGCTACTAGAGTTTAGTAAATACCCCGTCTTGAAAGAAATACAATACTTTCTGGAAAGTAAAAACAATACAATAAAATGGAAGATGGCTCTAAGGCATGCGAACGGTATGCAACTCTACATTGAGTCGTCTATCTGGTATCCGCTAAGCACCTCTCGGGACTCAGCTGGTACCAATACCCGAATCTGAACAAGAAGTACAGAAGTAAAGTATGAGTACAACCGACCCAATGTGTCCCCGACGAGGTATTGACGAGGCTAAGACAAGACACCTATAAATAATTTGTGCAGTTAAATATCAAGAAATAACAAGATGGCAAGTAAAGCATCTTACATTCTCCTGTAGTACAACAATCAGTTCCGGAGATGAACTCGATAATTTTGCGTGCTTGAAAAATCTCGACTCTTTCCTACATGCAATGCCCAATCTTGAGCAGATCCATGCACTTATCAAGCACTATGGACCAACAGTGTATCTCCATCTCCATCCCGATGTTATTTATTTGCCCTCCTCAGTTCCGTGGTTCTTCATTAATGGAGCTCTCCTCTACAAAGTGGGAGGAATAGCGGTATAGCCATCAACTCTAAAGGCTCAAACTTGCCTGCAGGTGGAGAAAACGCCGGTGAATATTGGCTGATTTTCCAAATAAGGATGATGCCAATCGAACCAATGTCAAATGTGGGAACATGCAGAGTGCAGAGCTCTCATGTTAAACCAGCTGTAGGAGGAACCTTCACGGATATTGCAATATGGATATTCTGCTCTTTCGATGGACCGACTTCCCTCAAGATTGGGTTGTTGAGTTTTGCTTTGAATAAAGTAGGAGAGCATGCTGGTGATTGGGAGCCTAAGTAATATGATATTTATAATCCATCGACAGGATGGGTTTCATTTGGTTCTCTTTGGGATGATAAATGACCTACTTAACTCACTGGTTAGAGTACTGCTTTCATACAGCGGGAGTCATTGGTTCAAATCCAATAGTAGGTAAAACTTATTAGATACCAGAGTCAATGGTATCTAATAAGGTTTACGATCCACCCTTAGTGATATTGATTTTTTGATTTTGTATCTTTTCTATTTCATTTTTGAATTTGAATTTTGCGGCGAAGCCACATGGTCACGACCACCCTTAAAAAGTTGCCCTGTGATTTCTCGGAGCATAGTAGTGTGAATGGCTAGACGCCTGCAACTTGGAGTTCATCGAGGGAAACAAGTCAGTTGTATATGCATCAAAAAATGGCCACGTGAGTTTCCCACATCCCGGTTGTTATATTCATTGAGTTATTTCCAACTGAACTATATGGTGAAGTAGGGCCAACAGGACCAAAGGAAAATGACAATTGGTTGGGAGATGAAAGATGGTAGTGGTTAGGCAATGTGTTTGGAATCCTATTACTGAATTGGTCCAATCTCCACCATTTCTTGCATATATTGGATGTGAGAAAGCTGCTAATAGCTATACTACAGCAAGGAATTCAATTGAAAAATCTTTCTTTGGCAGCTCTCTCAAATATCTTAAAGTATGGTTCATATTGATAGATTGTCCAATTCTATGTAAAGTGTAACAGCGACCATACATTCGCATGATTAGTGTCGTTTTCACAGTAGTCAATTTAAAGACCTACAAACTAATTAAGATCCATCCTTAAGTTAAATCAGCACCCTAAAGGTTGTATAGAATATAAAACATGCACAATTAAATAGACATGCTCTGTTCTGGATATACTTAAAGAAGCCAGCAGTAATCTTGAACAAAATGATATAGGCATCACATCCTGTAATTGCATAAACTGTTAAGGGAAAAGAGGGGTTTTCTTCTTCTTTGCAAAACGAAAAGCACTACAACCAAAAGAGACATTTCTCCTCTATGTAGTCTGTTTAGTATCGAGATTTACAGAAGGATTGACAAAATGTAAGCTAGGGTTCATAGATTTGAGAGAATGTTCGAGAAAAATATTTTCTATATCCGAGAAGTGTCAATCTGCACAACAAATGAGACCTGACTCGGTGGACCAACTAATTCAAACTAATGGACTCAATACAAACGTGGGCCTAGGTTACAAGAAAGGCCCAAATAGTCAACCTTTATCTAATGTACGAACAACCCCCCTCAAGTTGGAGGGTAATAAAACCCTCAACTTGCGAAGATGAAAATGATGAGCAGGCCCAAGAAATGCCTTGGTAAGTATATGAGCAACCTGAGCATCACTAAAGACATGGCCCAAGCTGATATGCCCATCACCAATTTTACCTCTGACGAAATGACAGTCCAGCATTATATGCTTACTCCGCTCATGAAATACTGGGTTGCGTGCAATGTGCAAGGCTACCTGGTTGTCACAATACAAAGGGAAGGAAGAAGAAGAAGGAAGACCAAAATCAGACAACAGCCTTGAAAGCCAAGTGACCTTAGCTGCAGCTTTACTCAAGGCCCTGTACTCAGCTTCAGCAGAGGAAAGAGAGACCACAGGCTGTTTCTTGGATTTCCAGCTCACTAAACAATCACCAAGGAAAACACAGAAACCAGTCACAGATCTTCGACTATCATCACAAGAAGCCCAATCATATCACAATAGACCTTCAATGAAAGATCGGGTGAATTACTGAAGAAAAGACCAAACTCAGAAGTGCCCTTCAAATACCTCAATAGGTGTAAAGCAGCCTGCACATGGGGAACACAAGGAGCCTGTAAAAACTGGCTAATATGTTGAACTGCAAAGCTAATATTAGGCCTTGTATGGGTTAAAAATTTCAACTTACCCACCAAGCACCTATACTCTTCAGGCTTGGGCAAAGGCTCACCAGGCCTTGTATGGGTCAAGAATTTCAACTTACCCGCCAAGCACCTATACTCTTCAGGCTTGGGCAAAGGCTCACCAACAGAAGCATTCAGTTTCTCATTAATAGCGATAGGACAAACAACAACAGAAGAAGCAAAGAATCCAATAAGTCATGAACAAACTTCTTTTGATGAAGAAGAACCCCAAAATCAGAATAGAGAACCCCAATCCCCAGAACATAAATAAGAGAACCAAGGTCTTTGATTTTGAACTGTTCATGCAGAAAATCTTTTAAGGAGGAAATCTCAGAAAAAATCAGTCTTAGTAAGGATGATATCATCCACATCCACAACTAAATGACCAAAGAAGCCCCAGAACCCCCTACTAAACAGGGAGTAATCATTTAAAGAATGAATATATCCTCTAGAACAAAGGGCCTGAGACGGTTTAGCATACCATTGTCTGGAGTCTCAAACCATAGAGGGACTTAAGTAGCTTGCAAATCAAAGGAGGAGAAGAAGAACAAGAACAAGAAGGAGGAATAGACAAACCAGGAGGCACTATCATAAAGACCTCCTCATCAAGATTGTCACGACCCAAACCGATGGGCCGCGACGGGTGCTCGAGTCCTACCTGTCGAACATCCTTAAGCATGCGTCTCAAGATATAAACATGAATAACATACGTGAGGGAAACCTATTCAAAAGGCATATGTACATATACATGCGGAATATATTGGGCGAGCTGCCAAGGCTACTATAGACAACTATATATCCAAAATTGGAAGCAGACAAGGCCACATACTATTCAACTATACATAACTGTCTACAGACCTCTAATAGAAAATACAAATGTACAAGGACGGGCATGGGCCACGTTATATGTATACAAGCATATCGTACCAAAATCAAAAGCAGCTCCGGATCAAGTGGAGCACGTTGGCTGATCAAGAATCCTAAGAGGGGGGACCGTCAGCTTGCCTACCTACACCTGCGGGCATGAAACGCAGGCCCCGGGAAATAGGGCGTCAGTACTAATAATGTACTGAGTATGTA